CGATTCTGCGCTGTATTGTTGTTTTATTTTTTACTGATTCATGATTATGCTTTAATTGTTTTGTGTATTATTTGGATAATAGCAACGATTTCTACCGACACCAAGGAGGTTATGTATTCACCGATGTCACTGTCTGGGTGTCTATTCCAGTTTTTTTTATATCTAGTATCTTTGTTGAGAATTGACAATAAAATACGCGACGACTTGGCACAAGTTTTTTTACATCCAGCTGTAGGGAGCGTCCCATTTTTTGTATTCCCACCATGCATTTCGGTGGAACACGGTGGAACACTTTTTTTGTGTGGAGAACTCTATCTTGTATTTCTAGTATCTTTGTTAAAACTAAATTAGGACTAGGATTCAGACACTAAGTTGTGACTGCCTTTATTTTTGAATAAAGACATAGAAACTAAAACGTGACTTAATATAATATTAATAATAATAATGGTCGACTTATAGAGCGCATACCTCTCTATGTGCTTAACATTATTACCCCAGGTCATTGAATCAAGCACATATGGAACACACACTCAGGCCCCTGGGACGAATTCCATAATGTTCAGCTATTTTTGTGTTTGAACCTACCAGGTACCCTCTTGTACTCCTGGCTGGAGATACAACTGTAGATAAAAACGAAATACACAGTGAGTGATTGAACCTTCGACCTCAAAGTCCGCAACCGCTGCACATGACTGTCCCTTTTATGTTTGTAGTATGCCGTTTTACCAATATTTGCCAACTTTATACAGTACTTTGCTGTGCCAGTATAAGTAGCAGCTTAGCTGTACTCACCACAAGAAGGAGGACCCCACTAGAAATAGGTCTACTTAGGTCTACTTCAGACTTTCGCGGGTTATTCTTGGTGTTTAATAATAATAATAATAATATTTATTTACACCGAATAAATCTATCCATCCATCCATCCATCCATCCATCCATCCATAAGTAATGAAAAATAAAATTAATAAAAAAAAATATTTCTGTTTAATTTCTGTTTGTATCGACTTAAACGTTTTCTTATTGAAGTTATTTCATTTTATGCTCGATGGGTCTTTTCAAGAATATTTTTTAAATTTCAGTCACCATCTCAGTCTACACCAAAATTTATTCACCTGCTCATTTATCTTCCTTATTTATGCCCTTTTTGTTTTTCAAGTTTTGTACATTTCCATTTTGCATTTTAATGTTGTAATAATGTCCTTTCTTATTTTGACTAATTTAACTGGAGTATTTTAAACTAAACATTTATAATATTACTACATTAAATTATTCTGTACATTTTCCTTAAATTTGCAATGAAGTTTTTTTTAAATCTTGAATCTTCCTTGGATTAATGTGTACACTAAATTGTATGACATTTATTAGAATTTGGCTAACAAACAGGTAGACACACCAAATAGCGACTAACACTGAACATCGCCTTGGCAGTTATTATGATACGACCTGATCATAGAAAGTACCAAATAGATGTTTGATCTGATCGGGCAATGAATCGTGTCTTTGCAAGCAGGTGGTATACATAGTCTTCATGGAGGTATACATCTATTTTAAAATAATTATTGTCACTTTCGATGAGACTAAAATTTTCTAGGTTATTAGATCGATTTGAATATATTTTTGCGCCTGTGTCATTGCCTCAACAACGGGCCCAATAACCAAACGGCATCTGCTACATAGACCCTTGCATTTCATATCAATGTTCAAGGGATGTAGGGAGATGTTGCGCCTCAATACTCAGCAAAAGACAGAAGATCAATACCACAAATGAGGCGACATTGAATCTATAATCACGGCCCAATTTTAGTGCAGCGCTCCGTTGATGATTTGGAACATCTTTCTATATCACATGCACAGCACAGTCTCTACCGTATTTTTCACTTTGTTGTATGGCGTAATGATGGCCCGGGGTTTGGGCAGTGGCGTAGAAAAATATTT